AGGCTGTGGTGTCCAGTAGAATATTTTGAAATGGAAATGTTCTGTCTGCACTGTCCAGGGGGTATCAGCCACTAGCTACATGGGAAATTGAACACTTGAAGTGTGGTTACTGTGATTCGGGGCCTAAATTGTCAAGTTATTTCTTTTTTTTTTTTTTTTTTGGTACTGGGGATCAAACTCACATTTGTTCATCAGGCACTTACACCGCTGAGCTAAACCCCTGGCCCCAAGTTTATTTAATTCTAATTAATTTAAATAACTACCTGTAGCAGTAGCTGCCATACTGCACAGTGCAACTCTACTAAATTTACAGTGGTTGGGAGCTAGGAGATTTCTTAAATTCTAAGAGTCTGGAAGTGTCCTCAGGACATGACCGTGAAGGAGTCTCTTAACTTCTCTCCAACTCAAGTTTCTCAACGGTGAGATACGTTGATAGACTAAATCACTATTGCTTACAGCAATAAAATTCTTTATAGAAGGCAATTCCTTGTTAAGGCACTACTGATTACAAATTTCTTCATTAGAAATATTCGGAAGGGTAGCTCAGAGGCAGAGGATGCACAAGGCTCGGGTTCAATCCCAGACACTTCCCTCCCCACTAGAAAAATTACTGATGAGAATGATGATGTATAACTTTTACACAAATCAAACATACTTCTTACAAATTCTCATATGGCTTATAATCCAAAATTAGTAGCAAGCACATACTTAAAGTTCTTTCTTTCTTTTAGCATTTCATTTATTTATTTTTTATTAATTTTTTGGTGCTGGGGATTGAACCCAGGGCCTCTTGTATGCTCTAACCCTGAGAGTCCCTGCCTCCCCAACCTATTTATATTTTCAAATTGGTATGTGCTCACTCTTATGTATTTATATTAATTAAGCCTAGTGTTGGTCTAACTCCTTTAACTAAACAGATTAAGATTTTGTGAGTCTCAGCCAATTACACATTAAGCAGGTTTGAAGAGATATTATCTCCTTTCCAAAAAATACAAATCTAACCATGCATTCAAAACAAAAGAGTTTTTATCTCAGTTTTATTCATCTTTCTTGCTGAGAATCTGTAAAGAATACAACATTAAGAGATAAAATTCTCAATCTCTTTCAGTAGTTCTATACATTTAAAATTGAGATAAATCTATTTTGACAACTTCTAAAGTTGAAAGTACTTTGCATAGTGAAATACACAGCCCAAGTAACTTAATTCTAAAATTTACCATCTTGGCAACATACTTAGAGATATGAAATACATCCTATATCCTAGAAATAATTGCTGTAATGTGTTAACTGAATTTATAATAATTATTAAAAACATAACTATAAGATGAAATACAATGCTATTTTTCCTTTGTGAAAGAAAATTATATGTTACTACTAAAAATCTTTACTTTCTTTCCCGAAAAGCCAAAAATTCTTAAGTAAAATAAACACATCTTGTCAAGCCTCTCTGGAACTAGTATAATTACCAGAGGCAATCCCTGTGTAAGATCAAAGAAGCAAAACAATAATAGGCAATGTGTGACCTCTACCGTGTCACCAGAGACCAATTTTTCAACAGGAGAAGAGTCAATAATACAGAACAGAAAACATTAAATAACGAGAACCGTTTCCCAAGTGTGGTTTACCACATCCATCAAGATTGCCACAGAGATTTCAGTCTGTATGGTTTTAGAAAACAAACTTCTGGGGATTTATCACAACAATCATTGAAATTTGCATAAAATACCAGAGGCAAAAAGTAATTTTCCAAATGCAGAGAACTTCAAAAGAGACTGTCTACACTGTAAGCTGTTGGAAGAAAAGCGCAGATGCCTGGATAGTTTGCACACCACGCTCACCTAATTTCACTATTTAAAAATTCTCTCTGTTCAGTTTTCCTTAAATTCTTGAGAAAGAGGCAATGAACATTAACCAGATAAACATAACTAGTAGCAACACATTAAAGATTTGTTCAATTTTCTTGGATTCATTTTGTTTTCATTAACAGTAATGGTAGGCTACCAAATCCAGAAACAGGGTTCCTTTGTAATGCATTTGATGACTAAGAATTATAGGGGTGCAAGAAAGAGCAGAGAATCCCCACCCACAGTAACCACAATAATACAGCGGCACATTTAAAGTGGACTGTTTAAAGGTGCTGCCAATTAGACTGTGCTTTGTAATCAGCAAACTTTGATCACTTTTCTTAAATAATATCAGCAAACTGTCTTCTTTCAAATCGAATGTGAGTTTGTCTGAATTACTTAACCAGTGAGGCAGTATTCCAGTGTAATTCAGAGCGCACTGACAGAGGGAGAAGCAGCCGAAGAGGAAAACCCTGGAAAGCGGGAACAACTGTGCACATTCCGTTTCCACGGATCTCTGGCTCTTCCCCCTCCATCTCTCCACTGTCATCCCCTGTCCTTCCCTCCACTTATCTTATTAACATTGCTAATTGTATTTGTCAGTTATGCCACAATTTCAATGCTACTTAAACAGCTGTGAGTTTTCTCTTGGCAATTATCAGTCACTACACTTAGGTTTCTAAATTAGTTGTTGAAAGGTGTTTTAACCTTGAGAAAAGAGCACACTGTTAAGCCTCACATTTATGTGTATATTCTTTTAACAGGAGTAATTATTTGAAAAGGGTTGAAAAAAATCATACCATAAATAAATATATTGGTAACTAAAATTTATAAATCGATTGTGAAAATGTTTAGCAAAGCTTACGTATTTCTTACCATTTTACTTTTTTCTTACTATACATATTGTCATGTGTACTTTCTATATATGTACATGTATTAAGTGTATAAATTAGACCACTGAAACACTACTGAATCCCTTTAACTGTTTCTTTTTACTTGCAGGTGACTGACACCTTTAGAAAATGTCCATAACCACGTCAGAGGTCTCTGAGGTCATAGGGGAGCCCAGGTCTCACCACATGTACATATTTTTCCTTTCTCCATCTTTTTTCCAAGAGCAAAGTCCTGCCGTATTGCTTCCCACCTCCAAGCCTGTGCTGGGCAAGCTCTCCACTACTGAGCTACACCCTCCAGCCCTCTATTGCTGCCCTTACTCTCTAATCTTGACTCTGACATTGATTTTCTTCTTATTGCTATAAAATGGGTAAGGAACATTTTCAGGGGAGATACAGACTTAAGATCTGTGGTGGATTTAGCTCAGTGTGGCGTAAGCACCTGCCTGGCAAGTGTGAGGTCACGAGTTCAATCCCCAGTACCAAAAAATAAAAAATAAAACATAAGACTTAAGATCGGTTACTAACGCACAACCCCTCCTATTAGCTATTAACAACTAAATTTAAAATCTGTAAGCCAGGACAGGAGCATGGCTCAGTGACCAGAGATTTCACCTAGCATGTGCATGGCTCTGTGCTCCTTACACACATGCATACACGCACATGCACACACTTTCAGAAAACTTGCATTCCACGTGCCATTTACTCCCTGTTAAAATAAATTCAAATCATAGCTTTTTAGAATTAACAAGATTTCATAATCCCCTCCTGTGGGTGGGTACAGTCACAGGGGTGCGGAATAGTTTTTAAACTAACACAGGCTCGCTCCTCACCCCTTCCTCCCCACGTCAGCTCACTTTCTGCTCAAAGGGAAGAAAAAGTGATCTTTTAGCAGTGCGCACTTCTTCCCCAAGACAGAAACATTAAAATGATAAACCTTTTGGAAAGCACAGTACACTGCAAACCCTGACGTCCTTTCAGGCCTCTATTGACTCCTGAGTCCTCGCCAACATTTGGTAAGGATTACCCTTTCATTAGACAAAAGCGAGCATTCCTTAGATAAATCAGGAGTTTTTGCCATGAGACTCATAAAACCTTTTCACAACACAGATTTTCAAGAGAACCCTTTAAGGTTTTAGGAGGCTGCTCCTTTTACTAAGTAACAAAATACACCCCACCGAGTCTCACTGACCCCACTCAGCTGTCCTTTGACCTCTTCAATTGTTGGAGCCTAACTCCAGGGCCCACAGAATTTGCCTCCCATATCAAAAAGGCTAATGTTGCTTCCTCCTAGCACCTGGTGAAACAAAATGCAACAGTTCTCTGTCTTTCTTCTGCCTCCTCCTCTCCCTCTCTGACTATCTTCCAGATGTTCCAGGCCCAAATGTTGAGCCAATACTGGGTTTCAGTCTCTGCGCAGTCTCCATGAAGGAACAAACAGGGACCAGGCTGAAGTGGCAATGACCCTCTTGTTCTTTTTGGCCTCAAAAGGATACAACAGGTCATAAAAGAGGAAAAGATCTTTGGCCTCCCTTAGAAATGCCAGGCTATTTAAGCACATTGTAACCCCCAAAAGGATAGCAACAGTGGTGGTTACGTCCCTTCTGATGGACGAGGGTCACGGAAAACACTCCCTCCAAATCCTCAACTCCAAGCAAGCTTCTGATTTTCTTTGACATAGAGAAAAAGCAATATAATATAATTTTTTCCCATTTCTAAATGAAAAGTCTTTCAAGATAGTAGAAAAACCCTCACAAATTTGTTACAACAGGGGCTGGGGATTGGCATAAGTGCCTGCCTGGCAAGCACACAGTCCTGAGTTCGATCCCCGTTTAAAAAAAAAAAATGTTACAACATACATCTCAGAATATATTGCTATGAGACACATTTTAAATACAGATATTTGGATTGTGTATAAAAGCCAATAATCTAGAAGTCTCACTTAGATATTTTGAAAAATAAAATCACAGTCAACAAAGGAGAATTTTAAAAACCCTGCATTCTTATTTTCTTAATTTAGGTATATAGAAAATACAGAGCTTTTTATAATGCCTTTACTGCTGTCTAAATTTTGCTGGGAAGTAGGATGCGGAGGAGACAGGCAAACAAAGAGAAGGGGTTCACAGAAATAGCTGCTCCATCAGTTTAAGGACTAAACATCGTAGCTTTAATCAGATTCTAAAAATAACCTCCTGAAACCAATCAGATTTTGAAGGAAAAACGGCATGTGTGTATGAGGGGAGCACATTTAATTATACAATACCTTGGTTTATTTATTAGCATTTTTGAATCATGTTCATGATTAAATCGGGCAGTCAACACTTCAGGGAGAGCCTGTTGCCTAGATTAAAACTTGGTTAAGGCTTTCTTGCACCTGTAAAAACATAAAAAATAAAAAAAAATATATAAAAATATGAGTTAACTGTGCATTATATTCTATACTATGACAAATATCCACAGTTCTACAAATGAGAATGAAAAAATAAGGATCAAAGCTTTATGCAACTCCATAGACACCATAACTGGCCAATACACAAATATTCTTCCTTCCTAAATATTCCCCCAAAATCACTAGTTATACATCCTTAAAAATAATTCCTGCCATTCTTACAGTTTTCCCCACTAAATTTACACTTAGTAAATGCAGTCCTTGAATTAGTCGTCTACTTTGCACTTCTTGGCAGGTGTTAATGATAACAGCTCACTGAATATTTTTGTTTTTAGTAATGAAATTAGTGAGAGAGCCGGGGGTTTACCTCAGTGGCATAAGTGTCTGCCTGGCAAGCACAAGGTCATGAGTTCGATCCCCAATTCCAAAAAACCAAAAAAAATTAGTGTTAAAGTAATTTTCTTTTCTTTCTTTTCTTTTTTTTTTTTGATACCAGGGATCAAACCCACAACCTTGGGCTTACCAGGCAAGTGCTTAAGCCACGAGCTAAATTCTCAGCCCTGTTAAAGTAATTTTCTTTTTTTATGAACCTTTGTAATCCCTGATACCTGACCATAATGAATCTACTCAAAAAGCCATAAAAAATGTGCAATATAGTTAATAATGACAGACATTAGTTATAGTTTTTAAAATTAATACCTTATTTTCAAGAAAAAGCCTCCAATAAGAAAAACAGCTAGTGGTTACTAACCCTTGAAAAGTATATTTCTGAAAATAGTTAATTATAATTACATGTAGTTGGCTGAAAATTATAGTAAGTCTATGATTTTCCCCTATTTAAGTAGATTATGGTCAATAGCTACCACTGTATGGGAAAATTAGATATATAAAGAATAAAGTAAAATAAAAACTATTTGTCATCGATTTTTATACATAACTTAGAAGTAGTTCTAGTATTATCTTTAAAAAAAAAAGCATGTTTCTAAGGATGTAGTAATTTCAGTGTGAATATTTTTAGCACTAAAATGCTTGAAGTATTGTTAATTTATAAATAACATTAAATAAAAACTGATTTTTATTTTATTTTTATGCTAACGAGAGAAAAGGACCATTTTAGATTTTGGAACAAAAATATTTATCTGACTTCTCTTATCATTGAAGAATGTCTTTGGGCAAAAGAATAATTTAGAATGCAAGACCTAGATTTTCAAACACACATATTTCCCATGGCCCGCACACAGACAGATATCTTTTTTGAGCCAGGAGCCTTGCTACCTACATCCAAACCCAAAATTACCCCATATGGTCAGCAAGGTCAAACTGCATTACTACCAATGAAAACTATATGACTCCACAAGGACCATAATGATTAAAAAAAAAAAAAAAGCCAGTAATCCAATTCCAATTCTTTGGAGTCTAAAATCGCTAATTTTTGGCCACGTGCTGAACACTTCACCTGCTAGTAATGACATTTTTGTATTTTCTTCTAATTACACTCAAAGCTAAGACCTTTGGCCCCGGGCCACAGACCCCTATTCAGGCTGCACACATTCTCTTAAACGACCTGATCCTTTGTTGTCACTTACTCTTTCATCTATTATTTACACCCATAGAGAAAAAAGATACTCTCCCATTTGTATAGCTTAAGGCTTCTAATCATCTTAATTTCTTTACCTTTCAACCTATAGTCTTTTCATAGTCAAATGCCAAAAAGTTTGACAAAATCATTTTTCCCTCAATTACGTGACCCTCCTTTCCCTTCCCTCACTCCCCAGCCAGCCTCCTTCCTGCGCCTCGGCTGACACTGAGAGACTGTGTCAGCCAGGATGTACCAATTTTGACCTTCACTAAGAAAATGAACATAATACAAATCTTAACTTGTTTGAAAATTATATTTTTCTCTGATCAAGGAGCCCAGTCAATGAAGCTGAAGATTACTTACAACAATTTAAAATCTCTCCCAGCCTCCTTTTAAGCATAAGCAAAGAATTTCAGGATTCTCTTGCGAAAATGCCAAACCATTCACAACACAGTAGAGGTTAGCTATGTGGCCAAAACTTTTCAAACATCTGAACATCTACAACTGCTCCGTAGCTTATGAAACAGAGAGGAAAGAAGAAAAGAGAGAAAATAAAATAGAAAAACCCGAGGATCAATTTTGAATTTAATCTTTACAACATTTAAATACTACTGTACTAATTCGCCACACAGCAAAATCACCATAGAAAACATTCTCTACCATGACTTTCTTCCCAACACTTTGCCCAGACTTTAAAAAAAAATGTCCAAACACGTTTTGTAAACTTGAAGCCCGGAACTGTTTACCATGATGCCGATGTCCGTCTCAGATCATGACAGCCACCAACAGATTCTGACTCCCAAGACGTTTGTAAAATGACATCTGACCCATCTTTGTGCTCTCTTCTCTTGCTCAGCTTACTCTTGATTTCTAACAGGCTTTCCTTGCTGCCTGTCCCTGTGCAGACCCTTAAGCTCCTTGTCTTTCCTGATTTTCACCATTTGCTTCAGCCAGCAGTTCACTGGAGACCCATCCATCTTGCGCTGCCTAACTGACAGATGCTCTCAGGAAGGGCCACACCGCAGAGAGAACAAAAGATAACATCACCTCCAGGAACTCAGAGAGAAATACAACTGCAACCTTACGACGGGGCTGACTTGACAGACACTGGACCATAAACCTCTTCTAAGTGAAAAAGAAAACAACTGCCACACACACACAAAAAATCTGACACAATCAAAGGCAGAAAAGAGTGATTATTTGCGGATTGCCTTTTCACTCTGTAACCCACTTTTCTCCCCAATGCTTTTATATGGGGCAATTAACTTGCCAAGAGGCCAAAGGAGTTCTTGGGAAAAGAAGTCTTTTTCAAGTATCTTCTTTTATTCAACAATATTCAAAGTGAAATTCATTCACATGTGTGGTTCAGGAAGTCTAGGGCTTGGAGTCAGCATTCTTAAGCAGAACCTCTGTCCGCATAAAGCAGTATCTGGACTCAGAAATGCTGACTCAGTTCTACTGCTGTGAAAAGCACATGCATGCTTGGCAAATTAAAAACACATTAGAAATTTAAAAAGCAGCATGTGACACAATGTCAACAATATGTGTAGCTCATAAAAAAAAAGTTCACCATTCATTCATCAGCCAGCCTCCCAACTTGGGCTAAAAAAGACAGCTAACAAGAGGATTGTGGGAAGGACTGCAGATCTCTCCTAACAAAGGAAAGGTCACATGAACATCTCCCAGCCACAAACTAATGAGAGGGACGCTGTGGAGGCCGGGCGCTCTGTTTGATGTCATCTAGGATTTGGGATTTTGTTGTTGTTTAAAGTCTTACTTTAGAATCATCATAAAACAATAGGAAACAAACAGACCTCTAACACGTAGAAAACATGAAGGGAAAATTCTGGAGAACATAAAAGCAAAATACTAACCTGGAGGTCAATTAAGAAAACTGAGTGATCAATGTTAATTATGGAGATTAACAGCTCATTTTTATAACAGACATCAAACAACACAGAGGAAAACCTGTGATAGCAAAAAAAAAACCACTTATTCTCAAAAATGTCAAATAATGAAATATGTGTTACTTCTAGAGCCAAAATAATCAAGAAGACTCCATCGACATTTCAAAGAAATGTGAGTATCTATATAGCTTGTTTAGTAAAAATATTTTATTTTTTCTTTAAAATTTTGTTTCCACCGCCTTTAAATTACGCTATCATAATTTTTCTTTGGAATAACTATTGACTCTTCTCTGCTCCATTCTCAAAAAAATATATATTAATTTTAAAACTATTTTGTTTTGTGTTTGAATTATCTGGGGGTAAAAAACTTTCAACTCGATAAACCAACATATCCTATGTTTAAATATTTTTTTATGCCTCCCTTATTTCCTCAGACATTTCATTGTGTCTCTACAAATAAAATAGTACACTGTTTCACAAGTTGAGGATTTTCTGGTTTTGGTTTTGGGTTTTGGCTACCAAAGCGAAATTGAGACAAGATAATTAAATGAATGGGTACAGCTGCATTACTCAATGGAAAAAGATTAAATAATGATAGAATAATCATTTTGTAGAATACTTGTTCTAGTATGGACTTGATCTTTAACTAGAAGACTGCTTAACACACAGCTGGCCCAAAGTAAAGCTCCCCAAACCACTCATCCAGCACTCCCAAAAAGTGGCATTCATAGGAGAGAGACATGACCTTGAAATGACAGCCCCATGGCAGAAGGTTCCACAAAAGATCCAATTAAATTATCTACTTTTAAACACAATAGAATCAATATGCATGTAGAAAAAAAAGTACGACCCTGTAGAAAGTTCTCCTGGCCTGACTGATCAGAAACAAAAAACTTTCCTTTTTTTAAAGAACGCTTACAGATCAGAGTCAGTGCCAGAAATCCACACAGGAAAAAAATCCATCAAAATGAAACCCTAAAAGGGTTTAGCCTTCACCATCCTATTTGCACTTCAAAACCCTGTTAGTCCTTCAGTTAAACCCCAGGGCTGAACCATTTCAATAATAAGAGGTGCCCAGAGGTGATTTATCTCCCATTTGGCTTCTGGAAGAAGCTGTAAGTCTAGGAAGCTTCCCTTCCCTCACTGGTTCCCTCCCCCAAGTCTCCACCTCCGTTTGTACAGCCTTGGGTCTATGTCCTCACAAACAACTCTGAGGCCCCTTCCAATCAGATGCAAGAAAGGTCTGTAACTCAAGATTTGGGCAAATTTTCTTGGCAATGATTTGGCAACATGGAATGCTGCTGAGTAATCGCAGCTCTGCAAACACCAGGTTAAACTGCAAGTTCCCTCTGTGATAAGCTGGGGGAGAAAAGAAGCTCCTCACACATGTTCATTGTTATCTGAACTTTTGGAACTTTTCCCATCCACACCCTGATGGGCTCGACCTTTGGACCATGTTAGCCCACTTTCTGCAAGGTGGTGCTCATCTGAATCTAAAG